GGAACTTAAATTATGACAACCCTAATCTATTAATTTTTTCCTAAAATGCAGGCTTTATGTTGCAAACAGTGTTGCCAACAGCATATGGATATTTTCTCCGCCTATCCCAACAAAATTCTCCGCTTTTCGGTCAAATTCTCCGCATCATAAAATCAGTAACAAACAAAAATGAATATTCTTTTTTTATGAAAATATTGTAAATTTAGTAAAATATTATAGTCGAATATTATAGTAGAATCGTCAATCAACGGTAGAATTATTTAACTATAATATTTTGATATATTTTCAATATTTTATTGGTTCATTTAGCAATATTTAAAAATTGCCACTAAAATTGTGTGAATAACAAGTTTTGTACTATGTAGGTTAGGGAGTAAAGGTAAAAACAACAATAAAAATAAAAATATCTCTTTATTAATTAAATAAAACTAAACAAAAGTTTAACGCAATTTGCGTTACGCAAAATAAAATGTGTTAATAAACAATAATATCAAACAACAACAAAAATATCAAAGTAGGTACATTAAAACCAAATTATTACTCACCACAATTTTCTCAGTAGGCTGAGACACACTTTGCGACGGCAGGGACTCTTGGTCTTTTAAGCTTTCCTTCTAATAAATGAAAAAAATCAATTTTTGCACCAATCATTTTAAATAATTAGGTAATGGTAATTTAAATTTCAACTTACTTTTTTATGCAGCTTCAACCACTTATCCATATCCAACAATGGGAAATAAACAGAAATAGACCATATTACAAAAAATAAACAACATATTACAAATTAACAACATTGTTGTAACCTTTAAAACGTCAAAATAAAGGCTTAGGATTCTTCGTTAACGATCGATCGTTCTAAATTCAAACTTCGAATGTGGACACCAGTGTTGCCAGGTCAAAGTATATTTTTTCCATATAACTTTTTATAAATGGTTTTTTCAGTATACCATTTACTAACATTTTAGTAGACCTGGCAACGCTGCGTAACACCAGTTACGTTGTTGCCAATTGCACAACCGACTATTGAAATAAAGCGGGAAGTACGTCAAACTATAAATGATTCTGTGGACGATTGCAGGTTTATCTTATGAATGGGAACTGCAACGACCATTAAATTCTCCGCAAATTCTCCGGCAAAATCAATTCTCCGCAACATTCTCCGCAGACCCTCAAATTCTCCGAAAAGCGGAGAATTCTCCGCTGATTGGCAACACTGGTTGCAAATGTCACGTAATTACGTGACCAACTGCAATATCCTAACATCGATGAATATTTCAACAAAATGGCCGTTCAAACAACTAAAGCTAGTGCTTGATTAACTAAAAATAGACTTGATTGACAAAAAATTATTTTATCCGAAATCGGCACTGCCGATTCGGCAGTAAAGTAGTCAACAATCGTAAATTAAAATAAATCGGCAGTAAAGTTCTACTTTACTGCCGATTTCGGATAAAATAATTTTTCGTCAATCTTAAGTCTATTTTTAGTTAATCAAGCACTAACATTAGTTGTTTCAACAGCCATTTTGTTAAAATATTCATCAATGTTAGGATATTGCAGTTGGTGACCGGTAACTTACGTGACATTTGCAACATAAAGCCTGCATTTTAGGAAAAAATTAATAGATTAGGGTTGTCATAATTTAAGTTCCCATTACCTTAAAATGCTACTTGCACTTGAGCGAGAATTAGTTTTCACAAAAATAAGTGGATACAGCATCGAAACAAGTTATATGAGAATTTACCAAAACACTAACCTGGTGTGAATTATTTCCAACAGTAGTAAAATTTGTATTATAAGATGGAATAAATTATCACTGTCTGGTGTTATTTTTTTAATTTATAAAAATCTTTAACAACATACCTAGTGTTTTTTTTTTCTTGAGAATTATTTTTTTTCCTATAATATTTTATTCTATGTAGTGATAATCTATTATACTGTTGGTCACTACAAAATATACAAAAGTGACCAATAAAAGACAATTTATTGTTTATATTTATTTTTATTAGAAACATAAAATCACAGCAAACAGAAAATTAATCTTAAAGTTTTATCATAACTGTATTGAATCGTGCTTTGTTTTTATATTTTTCGGCTCTATACCTATGCACGACTATATTTAAAGTCAAACTCAATGGTGTCTTACAAGATACATTATTTTGATTTTCTATATTCAACAGAGAGGTAGAAACTCGACCCTGTCGAATGGTGCAGTCATTTATGTCTCTAGAAATTATTAAAAAAGGGTTTAGTCCAATGGTGCAGCAACTTCGGATTCCTATTCTCCTCAGAGACATAGAAACTCAAGCTTTTCGAATTTTACTGGCAATGATTTTCGTTAATGTCCCCGAGAATTATACAAAAACAGCGCAATGCAATATCGCAACGGTTTCGACTTCTCTTTACTCTACCAAGTTATAGAAACTGGAGTCTCTCTAATACTGTTCTAGTCAATATTTCTGAGAGTATAAAAAGAGGGTGTAATATTGCAAGAAGTTTTGATCTTTTGATGGATGCAAGTAGTTTGAATTTTCTCCTTTCTGTATATGATTTTGTTGAAAATAGTTCCTTTCTTTGGTTCCTTTGTCTGATTTTTATTTACCGCAACAACTCAGGTATGTATAAAGCACAGATGATATGATGTTAGTATATTTATGTATTATATAAAGTACCTATATTTGTATTAAAAATTTCAGAGGTTATGTTGAAAAAATGATCGCTAGGCTATTAAACTTTAATAATTTAGTAATTAGGTCTGTTGGTAGGCTATCTCCACTGGTATATGTTAGTTTTGTAATATTTAAATCTGGTTGATGAAAAAGTACACACCAGTGCAGGTTATTGTAGCATCTACGAACAAATGAATTAATGGCCCAATGGCAATTATTCCTTTAGGAAAAATATTCAACAGAGCTTAATTAATTAATAAAATGAAAAAAATCACAATCATGTCGTATATATAGTTTTTTTTAAGCATAAAATAATTTTTATATTAATACTAGTTCAAAAGTGAAATTACGACCTCTATACTGTGGAGAGTACCTATTGAAACGCTCGACTGACGAATACAACTCTATACCGTAGGGAGATTTAGGAAACCATATTCAAACGTGGCGTCATCCTATACACCTCTATAATTTTCCGTTTGCTGTGATAAAAGATTTACAAAACAAAAGTTACAGCTATTTACAAAACAAAAGCTATAGTTATATAGCTTTTTATACAACCAAACATAACTAAAATAAAATAAAATTCTTTATAACAATATATAATATAATGTATATAGGAAATATATTATAAGTATCCTTCCAAACAAAATTATCGCACCACTTATCAGACTATCAGAGGGTACAGGAGAAATACTTCTGCTTGAAATGGGTCTACAAATTCACAATCCATAACAATCAGTAGTCTACAGTAGATATTTAATCTTAATTTTAATTTACCTGATTTTAATGTAACAAATAGAAGGGCATCTTTTTGGGAAAGGAAATGTTTTATAACGGCTTCGTCTACCTCTCTTCCAACTTTATCACGAAAAGTAATGTCATATGCGTTTTCTATATGAAATTTCTTGGCAGCTAAAATTTTAAAGCAATTAGTTTGTCCAAAAATTCGTTAAACTATATATAGACAAACCCATCTGACAAACATCTTCATAAGCAAAGTCTTTATTTAGTACACAGTACTTTAACCCATTTTAAATAATATTCCGAACCCGTGTTCCGCGTCCATATTAAAATCTCTCGTCATTAAATTAAAAGTTATGTTATCACTTACTTACCAAAAAATATATATTTAAATCGACAATACACTACAACTAACAAGCAAAACAGGTGAACAAATGCTTTAAACAATTGTTTTAGCCGGTTGGCTCCATTGTATTGTTAAACGTATTCGGCGAGTTTGGGCAAAAACTTTGGGCCAATCACAATGCTATATTTACAAATCTTCGGATCACGTAACAATTTCTCGGCCGATTTGAATTTGATTTTTTAAATTATTTTATTCAGTTAACCAGTAATTGACCATCAACCAGTTATTGACCAATTTACCGATTAAATGATAAAAGCAACCCAAGTAACACAGATAGTTCCAGATCCTTTTGATTTTAGACTCGCCACCAAAATACAGTTCCTGAGTACACCCTGTTACCTAATTTGTCACTATATTAGGTAATGCCACTCCAAAGGATTTTTGGATAATCTCTTTTACCACTCTGCTACTAGTCATTTGGAGTTTGAACACCCAAAATTAAAGTAGCAAATGTGTTGTTACGTCTAGTAACTGGGACTAGGCATATCCTTTCATTGTTACCACTAAGTGGCGAAAACTAAATAGTGGCGATAAATACGAAACGGCTACCAGCTTGTGCTACTAAAATGGGTAAATTAAGTATTTGTCACTATATAGTTCCATGCTTAGTTACAGAATAGTCCCAGTACTCTATATCGTGGGCCTTAAAGTTACGAGGCATTTGGGTAATATTGTTGGTCCTGAAATAGTAGCTGCGACTATGGTTTGTTACTATAAAGTTACGGGTACTATACTCTTTTAACGTTTTGCTACTATAAAGTTGTAGAAACTGAAAAATGTTTCTTTATAGTGGCAGATAATATATGTACCCAACCTGTCTGTTACATATTAATATGGCATACTGCGCCCAACTTACTATCAAGTGAAAGTGTTTTTTGTTTTGTTTATGTTATTTCGTTTCAAATAAATTACCTAATATGCCTAAAGTGCAGAAAAAAAAGTTTAAACACTCAAGTACTTTCTATAGGAAAGTACAACGCCTTACATTATTAACCAGTGTTGAACCTAGTATCAGCTCTTCTGTAAAACTTTCTAGAGAAGTTAATGATGATAAGGAGCTTACTGGATTAAATTTAGAGAAGTATGACTGCAATTTAATAGAACAATTAAGGCATCTAAATTTATTTTCGATTTAGATCATTTTTGTATATGTGTAAAAACTTATTGTATCTGCATTTTTTAGGAATGTTGAGTTAGTAAGTACTGAATTCGAAGAAAAAACAGAGCTGAAAGAAGAAAGCAATATCACTCAGGAGCTAAGGCATTGGGCCTTAAAACACCAAATTAGCCACGTTGCTTTAACTGACTTACTTTGTTTACTAAAAAATGAAGGCTTAACATCATTACCAGGAAATAGTAGAACTTTGTTAAGTACACCGAGATCTTGTGTCATTGTTCCAATGGGAAATGGAGAATTTTGGTACAACGGAATAAGGAAGATTTTATTATCTCGTTTATTCCAAGAGAAAAACCTAGAATCGGTATCCCTAATTTTTAATATTGATGGCTTGCCTCCATTTAATAGTTCTCCGTTACAATTTTGGCCGATACTCCTAAAAATTCATGAATATCCTTGTGATCAACCCATGGTGGTGGCTATTTATTGCGGAGAGTCAAAACCTCCATTAGAAGAATTTTTGCATGAATTTGTAACGGAACTAAATGAGATTTTGGAAACAGGAATTCAAGTTAGTCAGATGAGGGTAAAAGTAAAAATTAGGTATTTTGTATGCGACACTCCAGCACGAAGCTTTATTAAAGGTAAATTCCTATTTCAAACTAATTTTAAGTTTTATAGTATCATTATGCATGTGAGAGATATTCCCTTGGAAAAAATTTCAACAAAATTTAATTCTGCGAACATTATGATCTACACTGCATCCTAATTGCTTAATTTTATAATTCTGGCGATTATTGTAGGAACTGTAGGCTTTAATGCGAAGCATGGTTGCATAAAATGCACCGTTACTGGAGAATATGATAAAGATGGAAGACATATGAGTTTCTCAAAAGTTGATTGCCCTTTAAGAACGGATGAAAGTTTTCGTAGGGCTCTAGATGAAGATCATCACAAAGAAGAATCTCCCTTAATAAAACTGCCAATAGATATGGTTGAAGATATTATCATAGCAGATTCCTTACACCTATTTGATTTAGGTATTTTTTCCAAATAACTTCTCAAAAATAAAGATAAAATAGTTTTTTTCAGGAGTTATGAGAAAATGTCTATATGGATGGGTTTACGGAAATTACAACTTTAAAACAAAATTGTCAGCAAGAGATATAAATTTAATTTCCGAAAAGCTCATGCAATGTAATAGCACAAAACCAACCGACATTCATAGAGCTATTAGACCCTTGAAATATCTTAAAAACTGGAAAGGCACTGAGTGGAGAACTATTTTACTTTATTTGGGACCAGTCGTGTTAAAAGACTATTTATCCAGCGCTGTTTACTACAACTATTTGCTTTTTTTTTGTGCTGCTACCATATTGTCATCCAAAGTCCACTTGAAATTTATTATAGTTGCAGAGACACTCATACTAGATTTTATTGAAACTTTTGGAAACTTATATGGTTTGGATGCCATTAGTAGCAACGTACACAATCTCTGCCACGTTGTAAACGACGTTAAAAAATTCGGATCCTTAAGTGAAATCAGCGCCTATCCTTTCGAAAATTTTCTTTCACGTTTAAAACCTTTAGTTCGTACAGGTAATCGGCCTTTAGCACAAATTGCAAAAAGAGTCGCGGAACTTCATAATTCCAACATAGAAATTGGTTCTAGAAAAACACACATATCTACACCCTATGTTAAGCATGAAAAACAAAATCAGACTCACCAATTGCCTGGTTGTTATAAAGTTTATAACACCGTGTATATTTTAGAGAACCTTTTTCTATCCAATAGTGCTAAAAATATGTGGTTTTTGACTAAAGACAATACTATAGTAAAGGTAATAAACGTAACACACTTTAACGTAAAAATATATATTTATGGTGAAGCTTTAAAAAAAATTGTAGACTTTTTCCAGTTACCAATTAAGTCATCTCGTTTAAACATTTATCAGTCTCAATATAAAACCAAAAGTGATTATAATAAACCAAAACTTTATTCTTTAAATGATATAAAGTGTAAACTTTTTTCTTTAGAATACAACGAAACCCTAGTCTTTTTACCTTTACTTCATACTTTAGATATGTTTTCACTTAATTTCAATTATTAGCCAACAATTTGGAGAAAATAGTTATATATTAGCATAAAAGATACATATTTGACGATACACATATTACATAATTAAACATAACACAAAATATTCTTTAAAAACTTAAACCTAACACATAATAATCTTCAGTTTATGATCTCTGAATCGGAATCCTTATCATTTGGTTGATTGTTATCTTCTGTCTGTTCTATGTCGTTATTCCCTTCATTTGACTTATTTTGTACCTCGTCGTCTGCCGTAACCAAGTCTTTTTTGGCCCCAATTTGTTGACGTTTTCGTTCGTATCTTTTTTTTGCATGTTTCAATATGCCGTCTCTAATAATTTTGTCATTTTTTTCTTTGGTATGTCGGTTATCTGATTTTGACAAAACTTCAAAGAATACTTCAATCACTTTCTTTAAAGCTGTAAATGACTGCTTCTCAGGATTTTCTTTCCGTTTGGAAATTCCGGTCCAGCTATAGTGAGTTAAAATTTCTGACGAAAAGAGCATGTCAGAAATTTTGTATGCCACTTTTGTAGCATCATTTTGCCCAGAAGATCCCCCAACTCTACTCAGGAAGTCAATTAATTGATTTTTGAAAGCTTCGTTATTTCTAATCTCATCGTCAAGCCTGTTCATTTCTGTAACTGTCTGAAGAGGAAAGGAGAACTTTTTTAAGTGATCTTCCTTAACTGCCATTACTGATGGTGCTTTTTGTAGAAAGTTGTCATTGGCAGTCATATTGTCCAACTTCTTAGAGATTTCGTCAAACAAAACTGAAGCCTTTTTATAATCACTTTTAAGCTTTCGAATTCGGTTCTCAGACTTATAATTTCGTATTTTATTTCCTTAATTTCACTTTTTATTTCTGATAATTCTTTCAGCAAGTCGTTTTCTTGTGTCAGACTTTTCCATTCATATACGATCTGCGGTTCCTCAGAAACGTTGGAAGTTGCAACTTCATTGATCGTAAACACTTCGTTACTGAGTGTAATCCCTTGGAGTTCCGATGATAATATAGTGGATGGAATCAAATTCTTTGGCTCAAGAGGCTTAGAACCAGAAGGGGCTTTAGCATGGTTTCTTGCGGTAATATTTAATTGCTCTTCAGATATATCATTGTCCATACCTTCTTCCGTAAACAAGTGATTTCGGTCAACATAGTTAGATGACTTTTGGATCCTGGCAAACATTTCTTCTTCGGCATCAGTATCTGCGCAATTTTCGAATTTTTTTTCAAAGTCCAAGGCCTCTGAGAATTTGACTATATTTTGAAACTTTAAGATGCATGGGTATCGGGCCCATTTAGAGTCTGGAGCAGAAGCTGCGTTGCTTCGCAAAATCTCTCGCTGTGATTTTGAAATGTGTTCTGGCCAAAATAGTGTTTTGTTTTTTTCCCATGCATGATCATGACCCAACTAGCATTTATGGTGGCAGATACGTAACTGCCACTATCAAAGCCTCTACAAAGGGGGCGGTGACCATCGGCGGCTACGTCGTATATTCGTAGCTGTTAAGTAACTGCGACCAAAATGGGGAAAGATTTTGAGTAGCCGGGTAGTGTCTCGGGTAGTTTTTGCCACTAAAAGAGCTACTATGATGTGTTACTATAAAGTAGCCTACTGGTGAATGCGACTTATATGTTACGAAGCTGCCTAGTCGCGGGTTCGTGGCAGCCTAGTGGAATTCCACCGACATGTAGAACTTTTGTTAAACTGTTAAACTTTATTCGCAGCGACCTCTTCATGCTATTTCACACTTCATAAAAATAAATGTCATGATGGAAAATAATTATGGAAGCTATTATTATTTTTTTGTTATTTACCATGCGATTTTAACGCCTGTTTTAGGTTAATTCCAAAACGCAATCGACTTTACTGAATAAAATAGTGTGTTTATATAACAAAATTTTAGAGCGCCTCTCAAAACATTTCAAATTATTATATTATTTGCAAGAGAAACTCATGTAGTAATTAAAAAAAAAATAAAAAAATTCTTGAAACTGGCGTAAAACTTTAAAATATTAGTCCACCGTCAAAAATAACAAAATAACTAAGAAAAAAAGCCTTAGTTTAGGTATATTTAGCTTGAAAACGCAAAATGTTTGAGCCATTTGGCTGTTCGTCTAAAAAGTCATAAAAAAAATATGGCCGTTTAATCCGAAAAATACTTTATAGTTCCATATGCTTCCACAAAGTACCGGGAACAATAATATATTAGGCGAACCCTACCCGTTTGGAACTTTAAAATTTTCGGATTGATAAAGTTACAATTGTAACTACCCAGAGGCGACTTTATAGAAACAATAACTTTTTTGGAACTACATGGTCAACGATTCTTTGGAACTATAAAGTGTTTTCCAAAAAAGTTCCCTGCGCCACCAAATTGCCACTTAATTGGGGAGCTTATGCTACACCGATCGCGGCGGTGGCGACTATACATTCCATTTGTGCCACTATAAAGTTCCGCTTTGTCGTTTGAAGTTTCTGTTTGGCGGCACGACGATCGACGCGAATATGCCAATTCAATGCAGAATAGGCGGCATTGAATACTGTTGTTTACTTACTGTGCGTTTTCTAGTATTAGTGTTTATATATTAATTATTTATTTTTTATAAATTCGGTAAGTACCTATGTATTTCTTATACTAATATAATATTATAATATATTACTTTTATCCGTTAAGTTCATGTAAAATAAGCAAAAATTGTTTTGCCCATGCACAGAAACACTTTTATCCATTTGTAGTGCATGTTAGGTATATTTGACAAAAAAAATTAAGACCCTTCGTAAGGAGCAAATATATTTATATATAGGTAGGAAGGACATTTTTAAAGACTATAAAAATGCCTGATGTCAGCTTTTTCCTTTGACTTAACTGTAAAGAGAAGCGTCAAGATTTATTCCGGCTTTCAATGCTCGTATGCGATAGAAATGCTGTATAGAGAATTTTTTTCGGGTATGCAGTCAGCTGATTTTTTTGCATCCTTTATTAAAATGTCTGTCTGTGGGTCTGTGAGAACGATTGCTTAAAAATGGCTTAACGGATTTTAACTAAATTTGGGTCAAAATTCCCTGTTAATAAGTGAAGAGACCAATGAGTTTTGGTGGGGGTGAGCGGTTTTAAAGATGTTAATATTGGGGACTAAATTTGAAAAAAAATCATATCTTTTCAATTTAAACGAAAATTATATCAAATATTCTATACAAATTTGAATATAGGTTAATTCCTATTAAAACATGTGAATATATATTTTTGTCTTTTACAGATCCAACATGGATACCTTTAAAATTGTGGCCACTAAGGAAAAAAGAGGAATTTATTTTACCGCAGTGCCCCACCAATGGGAGAAGAAAAACATCATGTTTTGGCCAAATATGCCAAATTTAGCCAGAGAATTGCTACGGGGAAATGCAGCTTCCAAACCCGAACAAGACTGGGAGGAATACCCATGCACGCTAAAGTTTAAAAATATTAAAACATTTGAAGAAGCCCTGGAACTAGAAAAACAATTCACCACTTGTTCAAATACAGATGCCGAGGAGGACATCATAGTTTTGTCCTCAAATACAAAATCAAAAAATTTGCAAAAGTCAAGCTCGACCATCAGCAGCGGTGCGACCATTATCAGCAGTTGTGCGACCAACAGCAATGGTGAATCAAACACTCTTCTAGATTTAAATTCCTTGTTTATGGGATCCGAAGTTGAACTGGACTCCAATCAAAATCAAACAGTTTGGGTATCCACTTCACAGGAAAATGAAACAACAGGGCTAAATGCCCAACTTTTGGAACTGAAAACGGAGGTAAACAGCATGAAAGCCGAGATCAAAGCTGAAGTGAGTTCTTTGAATCAAGAAATTGTTCAACTAAGAAAAGAAGTTAGGGAAGAATACAAAAAGGTCAGCGTCTTATTTGACGAAATATTAAATAAAATTGAAGGGGTTAAATTGCCCACCACCACTCACGGGGCTTTTCCCATCAGGCCAGATCTATTAAAAGAATATTCCTTTCCTCTTGCAAGTTTAGAGGAAATAAATAACTTTGAAACAGAATTAAAAGTGAACAAAAATCTTAAAGAAGAGTTTTTCGAATTTTTAAAAAAAATAGGTGGTACAACTGGCGAAGGTGACGCGGCCAAAGTGGGGTATAAAATTGTCGATACCCTCTTTTCAATGGAAATATTGACCTATTATTCTTGGACGGGTATCTCAAAGAAAAAAACAAATCAAGAAGGAAAGCATTCCTTTAGCGCACTTAAAACATTAGTGCAAATTATCTTTGAGGCTCTTCTAATATGCGACACTCGATATAACCTACAAAAACATGAAAAACTTTTTAAAGAAGGCGTTTTAAAGCACGCTAAAAAGAGGTTTGAAAGGAAGGTTAAACAGCAGGAAGCAAAGAACGGTCATGTTACAGCGGAAAACGAAGGGCAACAAGACAAGGAGAAGGAGAAGACAACATTAGAAGAAAACAAGGATTGCAATTCATCAGATTCAGAAATTGAGGATATTCAATAAATAATCCGAGATAATACAATAATTGTTAGTAGTTTTGAGAACAACATTTTTTATTTGTTTTTAGAAAATAAAAGTTTTAGTTTTGTTATATTGTTTTAAGAATATTTATTTTCTTTAGTGACATTTTTTTACATATGCATAATGCATATACTTAATATACAGCTTGACGCACGAGGATTGCACTATGGAAATAAGGAATAACACAGTGAATTAAATTCATTGAATTTATAGTTAACACGATATTTAGGGTTTTTGATTCCTGTTTTTCTTAGGTCGTCGTAGTGCTAACCTCAGGAGTCGAACCTTACAACATTATATTCATATGGTTTCTATATATTTACTACAAATATATTTTATACATAATAATATTATGTTTGTGCATATTTTAATGTAAATTTTTGTATGCAACAACTACTTAGTCAACTAATAAAACTTATTTTCCTAATAAAGCTGAAGGTTTATACTCACTAGCGAGTATACTTGCGACAATTGGGTTTGGATAGACTAGTCAACATATTTATAAGTTGCAGGTTTTTGAGAAAGGATGTTCTTTCAATGAAGTTTTGAATGCTCATCAAAGTAAATCTAAAGTGTTGCCGCCATTGCCGAGTGTGATGTCACGGGCATATTCGCTAGTGAGTGGTCTTTTTTACATTGATTATGACAGGTTTACAAAATGAAAATAATAGGGAAAAATCATATTATTCCTTACTTCGAAGGGTATGAAGTAAAGGAAAAAATACAAGTGTTTCTTTCCATTCGATTGCGAACAATTTGCACTTAATTTCGTCCAAGTGATATAATTTTGGATTGTTGAAATTATTCTTACTTTTATAGTTACATTCATAAATATTTATGTGGGATGATTTAAATGGCAGATCAAAAAAATCTTTATAATTGTTAATAGCAGCACCATAAATGAAATATTTTCCTTCATTATGAATTGCATGTAAGAATTCAATAATAGTATTATCATTTGTCATAAACCATTTATTTTTTGTAGTATAAGATGATAAAATCATACTATCTGATACGTAGATGGTTTTGTATAATTTACAGTTTGGTGGAAACTCTCGTTTTTCATCTAGGAATTCTTTTTTAGCATAGGGCGTTATACAAGGATCAAATTTTGCACTTGAATTTAGTCTTTCTGTGATCCGTCTGGCAATTTGTGCTAACGGATTTTTGCCACTACGAACTAGTGATTTTAAACTGCCTAAATAATTTTCAAAGGGATATGCACTAATATCTGTTAAAGATCCAAACTTTTTAACATCATTTACTACGTGGCACAGATTATGCACATTACTACTGATTGCGTCTTTGCCATATAAATCACCAAATGTTTTTATAAACTCAGCTATTAACTTATCAGCTACGTTGATATACATTGAATAAGCCGAACAAGTTAAAATAGTAGTGGTACAGAATAACAGAAGATAATTATCATATACGGGAGGGGATAAAATATCTTTAAGAATTACCGGTCCTAAATAAAGTAAAAATGTCCTATACTCAGATCCTTTCCAAAATTTTAAACACTTCAACGGCCTTATTGCCCTGTGAATTTCAGCTGGCCTTCTAGCGTTACATAATAACAATTTTTCTGAGAGCAGCTGTATATCTCTCCCAGAGAATTTGGTTTTAAAATTATAGTTGCCGTAAGCCCATCCATACAGACATTTTCTCATAATGCCTTAAAAACATTGAATTAGAATAATTATTAATGAGACAAACAAGTATAAATGTCAAATATTACCCAAGTCAAATAAATGAAGAGAATCAGCAATAATGATATCCTCCACCATATCAATGGGTAGTTCTAACAAGGGCGTTATCTCTTTATGGTGATCTTCATCAAACTGGTCTCTAAAACTTCGATCTGTTCTTAAAGGACTATCGATACTTGGGAAACTCATATGTCTTCCACCCTTGTCATATGTTCCCGTCACTGTGCATTTTATGCATCCATGAGCTGCATTAAAACCTACTGTTCCTACAATTAAAATATTGTTATATAATACGTTAAAAAAATTGCCGACGTTTTTGAGCTTTTCAGTTCGAAATTAAAAAAAAAATTCAAACGCGAGTTACTTAAAAACGGTGCGTCGCGTCCTAGCGAAAAAAGTCAAGAGGTGCTTTGCTCTACGTGTTAAAATCTATCGAATGACACTATTTGAATTTTTTTACCCACACTTTGACACACGGTGACCATAAAAAAATATATAATAATATTTTTACCCCAATACCCTTAATCGAAAACGACTATAAACATTTACATACGAAAATCGTTTTTCTCAAATAACTCCGTTACTATAAACTTTACGGAAAAATGAATAGAGTTTTTCTATACAAAGACACTTTTTGAAAAAAAACCTTTTCACCTTCCCCTCCCCCGTGCCTAACATTTTTTAGTACTCCTAAGGGTCAACCCTATATAGTTATATAACTTTAAACAATAATCCGTTGAGCACTATTTATTTCCGAATTCATCTTTTCGTTTCTTGGCATATAGTGTTTCCAGATAAACATTAATGGTACTTACCTTTGATAAAACTTCTAGCTGGCGTATCACACACAAAATATTGAATACACACTTTAACTGTTGTATCATTCAGCTGAAACCCACTTTCCAGAAGAATTTTAAGTTCGTTTACAAATTCCTGAAAAAAATCTTGAAGAGGTGGTTTCGTTGGCCCACAATAGATAGCAACAGCCATCGGTTTTTCTTGTGGGAATTCTTGCACTCTTAGTAATATCGGCCAAAACTCTAGAGGAGAGCTATTGAAAGGAGGCAATCCATCAATATTAAAAATAAGGGATACTGATTTCGTATCTTTTTTTTTAGTCATTTGTAAAAGGGACAATAAATTTTTTTGGATTCCATTATACCAAAAATGGCCATCGCTCATAGCTCTTATGGGACAAGAGCTTGGTGTCCCAATTAAAGTTCTACTATCCCTTGGCAATTCCTCAAGTTCGAGTGTGTTTTTCAGTATCCTCAATAAATCGTTCAGAGCTACATGAGGTATAGACGAGTATTTTAACGCCCACTCTTTTAGCTCTTGTTTTATATTGTTGTTGGTTCTCAAATTAGCTCTTCCCTGAGATTCAGTTTCAGATACACTAACACTACAGTCATCTACAGAAACAGCTTCAAAAATGTCACAGTCACTTCCTGATGTATGATGTTTATCAGTAGGATTATAGAAAGGTGTAGTTTTTGTTTCTGATGTTGATTCTTCGGCTCGCAGTGATTCCTTTTGTTTAATTCTTCGGTAGAAAGTACTAGAATATCTAAATTTCTTTTTATTCACCTTAACCATTTTACAGAATTTTAAGCTTCAAAGCAAGTAAAAGAAAACACTAAAACAGAGCAGCACACTATGCAATATGCAATCTGAGGCAATTACATTTTTTAGGGTATATTAAGTTAAGGTCACTATAAAGTAGCCATTTTTAATCCCCGCGACTTTTTAGTGGCAATGGATAAGCGACGGCTACTTTATAGTGACCTATTAAGGTAGCAGTAACCATTTTGCTACTTTCAATGCTACTATAAATTAGAAGTAACTAGGTGTCGTGGCCGCGACTACCCCGTAACTTAAATTGTTACTATAAAGTAACAAAAACTTAATGGAGGCATTATGGTAGTATTTGTTAGTGACCGCTACTTTAAAAAGTTACTATGAAGTTTTTGGTCTTTTATGGTGTCATATTCGAAGATTCAGGTAGTTCCAGCCACTTCTTTAAATTACATGTTTGTCACTTGCAGTCGGGGTGTTTATTTTCCACTTTTATGGTAGGTAGGCACTAACCGGTCACTCTCGAAATATACTTTAAAGTGCCTATTCCATATAGAGTAACATTTTAAGTGGCAGGGTGGGTCTAGGAACTATACTTTAGGGGCAGTGCTATTTTAAAAAGGACTGGGAACTTTATTTGCTAATTGGGGAGGTACTGCAGTAAAATACACTCCTCTTTTTTCTTTTGTTGCCACAATCTTAAATGTATCCATCTTGTTTGGTTACTGAAAATAAATAATACATTTTTTAAACTCTAGGAAATAATAAATAGTAAATAGGGCCTTCTGAATCATCATATATATGTAAAACAAAGTTTTTTAAAATATTTTTAACTATTTTCCAAATAAAATAGGTATAAAAGATTAAAATAAGGGTGTGCGAATAGTATTCGAATCAAAACGAATCGAATAATCGAAAAATAATTCGAACGTTAATTCGAATTATTCGACATTTTGAATTATTCGCACACCCTTAATTAAAATGTTTCAAAATACCATGGATGAGACTGTCTCATTGAGACACCTTGTAGTTGTATGGCCATATGTATCTACAAGATTGTTAACTCATTTATTACTTATTCATGCTACGATTAACAATAAGTTACCTATTCCAATTTGGGTTGTGATAAAATGGTTTTGTAATAATTGTGAATATTAATAAAAAAATATTATTTAGTTTTGTATTTTTATTCCATTCGTTACATTTGTTTTAACTAAAGCGAATATTGTCAATAAATAAATATCAATTAAAAAGTACTAGGACTATGAATTTTACACACAAATTACCAGCAGACCTTTAATTAAATTATTATATTAAAAAAAAAATTGCTTGAGGCCGGATTAGAACTGGCCACCCGTTGGTCCACACGACAGCCGAATACACGCTCGGCCACGGAATCCTTTGCTTAAATAGCGGCCAAGTCATAAATATTAGCTCGTAACAGTTGTAACTCAAGCACGGATTTTGTACGATGCCTAACAATAATAATTGATGTTTTGATTGATCAATGCGTGCATTATTTTCGAATAATTAAAATAAAGTAATTTTATTTACAAAAATTCTGTAAGAAAGCTGGTTAAAATATGTATTAGGTATTTACGGAATTCAGTAAAAATAGGTAGCTCATTGCTTAACTTGTAAATATTTTAAAATATTTAGGCCCCGCTTTTTATGTGTTTTTTATGCTTACCAAGA